GTGTGTGTGTGTTTGTTACTCTCTTGTAACACCTCTAATCTTTGGCATTTATATTAAGTTGTGTTACCTAATTGTGCTGCAAGTGCCGTAAAACTCTTTCTAAAACTTAAAACTTGCCGAAGTGTTTCTTTATTCAAACTAAACTGTTTCTCATCACGCTGGTTTTTACACTGACTATACAGGTAGAATAAAGAGGGTACTTTGGTAAAAGTCCGAGCTGTACTAAGGTTGAGGTCGCGATTACGCACACACCCTTATCACAACATACATTCCCCAACTAAAGTCAACTCGCTATCTGTCAGCCTTTGTCATGATGATGCAGTGTGCGAGTCACTGTACTAGTTTAGTGTCACCAGAAACTGGGTATACAGCACAGAACACCAATAGTATTGGTCTTCTGTGGTGTACAGAGCTATCCTGTTTTAGTAGAGGTTTTACGGCGCTCGCAATTGCATAAGGTCATAGGCGCGTCAGAAGATTAGAGGTGTTACAAGAGAGTAACAAACATAAAAAAGGAGGGGAGATATAAGGACAATAGATATTTGACAGGAAAGAAGAAGCAAACCACACCAGAGCACCCACCAACCACCCACGTACAAAGCTCTCTGATACTACGGTGAACTTGAGGCTTAATCAAGAAAGGTCATGTCTCTCGTGTATAGTGTACCGTATCAATGATAATATTATGATGTCATGGCGAATTTACAGATGACTAGAGTTCGATTCCCGAGTGAGGAGAAATTTTTATCAAGTATCTCCGATCATTCTGCTTGGATGTTGTTTCCATCTCAGCCCGTGTTGTCCGTACTAAAAACAGGTAGAGTCGAAGTCCGGCTGCTGAATGATCTAAATTGAGTCGAAGGAGGCTTAAAATAAGTCCCACATTCAGAATTTTATAACGGGGAAATTATCCACAGTACATTCTTGTTCTCGCTATCTGTCGACCTGTCATAGTGATGCAGTGTACGGGTCACAGTACGAGTCTAGTGTCACCAGAGATTCGGTATACAAAGCTCTCTGATACCACGGTGAAGTTGAGGCTTAA